TTTTTTAGAGACAGGGTCTCGCTATGTTGCCCAGGCTGGAGTGCAGTGGCTATTCACAGGCGCGATCCCACTACTGATCAGCATGGGAGTTTTGACCTGCTCTGTTTCCAGCCTGGGCCAGTTCACCCCTCCTTAGGCAACCTGGTGGTCCCCTGCTCCCGGGAGGTCACCATATTGATGCCAAACTTGATGTGGACACGCAATCAGCATAATGCACTACAGCCCAGAACTCCTGGGCTCAAGCGATCTCTAGCCTCAGCCTCCTGAGTAGCTGGGACTACAGGCATGCACCACCGTGCCCGGTGGGAAAGAAGCTTTCTGCGAGCGTGTTCCAGACCCTGGATGGAGGGAAACAAATCGGTCTCAGCCTGACTCAGGACCCTGCTTTACAAACCTCATTCCCACCTTCAAGGCGCAGCATTTCACAGCCCCAGATAACACTCCTCAGATTGTGTTAGAATTTTATTCATTCTCTCCTGCATCCACAGCTCGGTAACTACACATGAGAGGAGGAAAGAGGTGGGGCACCGATTTCAGTGGTAGAAATGGTGTGTTGAAGCTTCCCTCTCCTACTCTTAGAGAGGCCTGGGGGCCACCAGCGCGAGCCCCAGCGAGTGCTGCTGGGCTCTGGTTGCACATGTCTGGTCAGGCCACGGGGTGGGGCCGCAGCACAGCCTGTGGCCTTGACCCAGTGGGTTTGGCCTGTTTGGCAGGCCCATCGTTGGAGGGTTCAGGCAGGCAGAACTCTCCATTCCTGGGAGACAGTTCTGGAGACCAGCTGTGCCGCTCTGCCGTCGAGTGCCCATCCCTGGATCCAGTTCTCTTCGAGGAAGGAAATCTGCCGCTGTTTTGTTGCACTTCCCAAGGGCTCCCATCGCTATTAATTCTGGGAACCCCGCAAAGCACCCCTTTACAAGCTGTGCCCGTGCCTTTGGTTGGCATTCTCGGGATCTGCCTTCCTTCACCAGGGATTCACCAGGAAGCTGTGTTGGCAGACAGCCATGTCCTCATTTCTGCTAAGGATTTGCCTGGTCTTTTTCTGGAGTTATACTCTGTCTCTACCTATCACTTCCTATGCGGCCAGCCCCTGTATGCATCTCCCCTTTGCTGGTGGTCCCAGGCCATGGTCTAGCCAGCGCTGTCCCGTGGAACTTTGTGCGGCAATGGTCATGTCTACTCTGCACTAACTCGTGTGGCAGCCATTAGTCATGTGTGGCCACTGGGCATTTGGAATGTGGCTGGTGCAACTGAGGAACTGAATTGTTCATTTTATTTGATTTCAATTCCTTATCATGCAGTGCGTGGCTACTAGATTGGACAAGGTCAGGCCTGTCTCCCCTTTCTTCCCACTATCCTCTTTGGCCTGGGTTGTCCTGTACCTCTCTGTTGACAGTGGCTTCCAAAGAGGCTGACGCAGGGCACTCATCTCTTCTGCCTAATCTGTGTCCTCCTACTCCCTGACCTGACCCCATGCCACCTTCTGGCTCTGCCGGCCTCTACCTGGTTCCTGTGGTTGCTGCACATGGCCTCCCTTTCCTGACATAGCCAGCTTCAGGGGTCCTGCCAGGAAGTGCCCCTCCCATCATTTCCAGCTTGCCTCTGTCCCTCCACTCTGGGGTGCCTGGGAGTTCAGGACCCAGAGGGCAGGCAGAGCCCTGGATTCCTATTCTGGAATCCTGCACCAGGATGGAGGAGCTCTGCCTGCCTGAACCCTCCAACGATGGGCCTGGAGTTCTGTCTCTGCCCTTTCCTTAATCCACAGTTGGGTCTCCAGGCGCCAGCTCTTCCAGTCACCCCAGCCTTGCCCACCCTCGCCCCATTCAGAAACTGGGCTCACTGGGAAACTGCTCCCTCAGCATCTGTAGAACTTCTTCAAGAAGTGAAGTCCCCAGGTCCACTTTGAAGGAGAGGAAGGGATCACTGAGGTCCGGGACTGGTGTCCTCTGGAAGCATGGAGTGTCCACAAGGCCGTCGCCTGAGTGCTGGTGCAGGGCGCTCGCCAGGGAGAGTGCCGATGGCAGGGTGGCCGAATAGGCCGCTGTGTAGGCAGGTGGGGGCTCCAGGATGTTGGGACAGCTTGAGCTCTCTCGGTAGAGGCGTGGGGGCTTGGGTGGGGCCAGCAGCGTGGCCCGGGGCTGCTCGTCACCCCACAGTGGCAGGCGCCGGCCATCTGGCCTCCCTTGGAGCTCCCGGATGACTTCTCGGTTGCTGTACTCCTCGTGGTCCCCACCCGCCGTGCTGGCCTGGCTAAGCACACTGCCCTGTCGCCGGAGCCGCCGTGGCCTCCCAAGGCTCAGCCGCTTGAAGAAGGAGGTATTGCGGAAGGAGCCTTTCCGCCAGGTCTCCATGGGGCCCAGGGGAGCCAGCAGACAGGCATTCAGGAGCACCCAGGATAGCATGCAGTCCCTTCTGGGGCAGTGAGTGCCAGCAGTCGGAGAGGCTCCCCTAGGAGCAGAGGCCTCGGGGTTTCTGCTCAGCACAGACCTTTGGTTGCATCTTGGTTAGTGAGAGGAGGGCTCAGGAAGAAGGAGCTTTTTTGTCCAGGAGAGCAGAGAGTTGGAAGTTCCTGACAGCAAGAGTTTCCCACAGGGACAGGAGTGGCCTGATTACTGGATAGGGCGGTAGAAAAATCCCCAGGAGGAAGAAGCAGCACTTACTGGAGCCTGGGTGAGGGCATCCCCGGTGGAGGGAGATGGACCTTCTTGGGCTGGGCGAGGCTGGCGAGCGCTCCCTCCACAGGCAGGCGGCAGATGGCCCGAGCCTGGCGTTTGCCAGGCTCCTCAGCTCTCCCGGGCAGTGTGGGGCCGTGCCCTCTCTGTTGGCGGCTCCTGGACTCTGATGAGTGGCTTGGCTGTTTGTGGCAGTGTGTGGTGGTGGAGATGTGTTTTTGTTCTCAGCTGACTCAGTCAGGTAGGAAGCCGGGTTTCGTGCTCCTGGGTAATTGCAGCATCCGAGTGCAGGGATGGGGCAGCTGTGCCCAACACCCCAGGGCAATGGAGAACTTAAGATTCCTCTGTGGGGGCAGCCCTGTTTTATGTGCCACCTTGCGGCTTCCTTTCTCATCACGTCCCCACCACCCCGGGCCCCAACAGGTGGGCCTGGCTCCCGGCCCACAGTGTCTGGGTGGGAGGTGAGGGAGGTGTAGTTAATTGAAAGGCAGGCTTGTGGAACGACTGTGGGGAAGGAAGAGACCTGTGGCTGGTATGGGTGACTCAGCCCCACTGTCAGGCTCTCATGAGCAGAACCTGCACGATGAGGGAAGGAGGCAGAGGGTGTGTTAATGGGGAGCAGCCCATGCCTATGACGGGCTCTGCCGCAGAAGGTTGGGCTGGGGGCCTGCCAAGGGTGGCTCCGAGTGTTCTTGGCAGAGCAACATTAACCTGGGGACGGGAGCCGTGGCCTCCGCTTGGCCTGCCATCAGCTTGGCTGCTGTTTCCTCGTCCTCCCTTGTTTTGCCCTAGTGGCCTCCTGGCAGGAGAGCAACAGCTGAGGGCTGTACTGCCTCCTACCTGGCTGTGCTCCAGCCCTTCCCCTCTGGCTACCGGGCCTCCTCTGGGGTCCTCCTTCTCTTGCACGGCTGGGTCAGAGAGGCTGCTGTGAATTGTCGGCTGTGCTCCGGGCCAGGCTTAGCCGTCCAACCTGGAGGGGACTGCTGCAGCCAGGGAGAGGGGAGAGGTGCAGCTGCTGGGAGGAGCAGGGGAACTCAGGCTGAGTAATACTTCCTGTTTCTATACACCCCTTACCCCAAACCTGCTGGCCAGGGCCTGGCATCTCAGTCCCAGCCGCTCCCTGCCTATTCCCCGGGTCACTGACCACCAGAGTTTCCTCCTGCCTGCTTCCGTAAGAGCGCCCCTGTGCGGCATAGCTTGGATCGGGGCCCCACAGCTCTCTGCTACGGGCAGGCCACCGCATCTTGCAACCCCTGGCCTGCCTCACTTCTGTGCCAAGTCAGGCGGGCTTCACACTACTCTGCAAAACTGTTGGGACCACAAGATGATCACATAGCCTAAAGGGCGCTGAGGGAGGCAGGGGTTTAGTTCCCACCACAGACCTTATCAGGGCGTGGGTTGGCAGCTTAGGCCCCGCTGCAGAGCTGCTTCTCCACCCTCCAGCCTCGGCCCATTGAGGCATTTGTTTATTATTCTTTCGATTATTTAAATACAGCATTCCTTAATCTCTGCACTGTGCTGGCAAGTTCATAAAAGCTTTGAGCCATGGGCCCTGCCCTCCAGGAGCCCTGGTGTGTATTTTTAGAGGCATGCTGGCCTCTCCCTTTGTAGGGTGGCGTATTCCAGGCTGTCTCCAACAGGGCTCCCTTCTGCATCCTCAGCAGGAGCCGGACGGCAGGGCACCAGGCATGAACAGTGCCGGGCTCTGTGCCCAGCAGAGCCAAGTGCATCCCTGCAGCTCGGACAGCTTCCCTTACTTGGGAGCCTGAGAGAGGCAGACGCCATGGGATAGAGGGAAGAAGTGAAGGATAAAGGGCTCAGAGGAAATGAGGGGAGACAAGGGCCTGGCTAGAGGGTCCGCAGGCGATTCCTGAGGCTGGACTGGAGGTGGATGGAGCTGACAAGGCCTGGGGAAAGGGAGGGGAGCTGGCTGGGGAGCAGCCAGCTGGGGGCCAAAGGTGGCTTGTTCTGGAGGACACAGGTGAGCCAGTATTCCAGAAGGATGCCCTGGGTTCCTTCCCTTCCTCTGCTCTCCTCCCTCCGAGACTCTTAGACCACAGCTTTGCCTCGGCACCATCAGAGTTTAGAGTCTGGGGCTGTGCCCTGCTGTCCCTGAGCCCTCCTGTCCCTGCTCTGTCCGCCAGGGCTCCGTGGTGTCGGAGAGGGACTACGAGAGCCTCGTCATGATGCGCATGCGCCAGGCGGCTGAGCGGCAACAGCTGATCGCACGGATGGAGCGGGAAGACCAGGAGGGGCCGCCCACGTAGCCCCGGCTCCTGCCACCCGGCCCCCAGCCCTTTTCTTCAATGTCACCAATAAAAGTTTTTTGTTTTGTTTTTTTTTTTAAAGACTCTACCTGTATTCCATACATAGGTATAGGGTGCTGGGCTCTGCCACAGAGGGCTTCACCCAGGCAGGCCTGACAACCCTCCCAGGAAGTGGGCAGACCCCCCAGGGAAACACTCCACACGGTAAGAGTCCCAGAGTCTGTGCACAAGCAGAGCACAGGCGCAAACACTCATCACAGCCCTTTATTGGCTTGGGCTAGCTATGCAGGAGCCACATGCCAGGGGCCCTGGGGTGCCCAGGTCCAGCCAGGGAAGCTGCCCGAGGACATGTCCTACCCAGTGCCCTCTGCTCAGGCCCGAAGCAGCAGGGCAGCTGGGAGCACCAGGGCAACGGGCCCTGCCCTCTCCCACTGTTTGAGGCAGGGTTTCATAGAAGGCCATTCACCACCCCTTGAGGCTGGGCAGGTGTCAGTGACAATTTGGGGAGACAGGGGCAAGGCAATCGGTGAGGCCAGAGCTTGGAGGTCAGGGCCAACAGCAGCCCCATCCACAGGGGCGCCCCGGCTGCAGATCAGCGTGAGAGGGTCACTCCTTGTGCAGGCACCACACCAGCGTCTGGCCTACCCCTGTCATGCTCAGCACACGGAAGCCCCGGCGTTCCAGCTTGTCCAGGACTATGCGGGGAGGGTCATTGACATAGTATTCGTAACTGCAAAGAGATAGGTGGACAGGGTGAGGGGGGCACACAGCAAGCTCCTGGTACAAAGCTAGTGTCAGCTGCAGGTGGCCTGGCCACTCTGACAGCGACTTGCTAGCTGGCTGCTTGCTGGATGCCAGGGCAAGTGCACAGCCCGGCCTCCTCCGCTGCTAGATACTTCACAACAAGCTAGTGAAGGTGCCACTGTTGTGGCCATTGGTATGTGAGAAAACAGAGGGGTTAAGCAGGTTCCCCAGTGTCCCAGATGGTAGACACGTGTTAGCTTGACCACAGCCCTGCAAACTCAGAGGGTCCAGAGTGCTGCCTGCCCTTCTGGACTTGCTCCCCACCCAGGCCTCCAGGCCCCTCACTACCCTGATGTCCTGCAGTTCTGGAGTAAGGAGGCTGAGCCCCAGCTGCTCCTGGCTCTGTGTGCCACTCCCTAGCGTGGAGAATGCTGGTAGTCCTTCTTTCAGGTTTATTGATGCTGAAGAACCATGAAGCAGACAGAGGACTCAAGCCCTAAGCTGGGCATGGAGAGGCAAGTGCCTCATGGCAAAGGGAGGGGGCTGCCTTCCGCCCCTGAGTGTTGACCTAGGGGCTGGGATAAGCCGGCCTTCTCTTTCCCCATTTTGAACTGGGATTCACTCTGGCAACTCTTCCCGGAGAAACTGTGTAGCCTGGGTTCTCCCTACGTCCAGGGGTGAGAGGGCAAATGGAAGCAGTGGTCACAGTTTAGAAATGGAGACGTTACAAAGGATGCCAAGGAAAGTGGCCGGGTCCCCAGGCAGCAGCCACCCTGGAGACAGGACCCAGGCTCCCTGCTCCCCGTTTCTAGGGTTTAGCTTTGTAACTCAGCCAGATCCTCACGACGAAATCCTTCCTTGCTGTGCCTGTCTGTGCTTGATGGGGTCCAGCTTAGAGAGGAGAGGGCAGGGCAAGGAACAGTCCATCAGTGGAGTCCTAGACCCAGGGAACAGACTGTTTCTGCAGTTGTGGAAAGCTTTCAGAGCAAGCCTCATGAGGGAGAGGGGGTGTTGGAGATGCTACAGGTAGGACCAGATCCTCCAGAGGACAGAGCTCCAGGATGCAGGCAGCGGGGCTCTGATGCTAGGGCCTGTCCGTAGGCTTGGAGGTTTCATAAAGGGAGCAGATCTAGGGGCTGGCAGGGAGAGGATACTGAGGGAGGCTGCTACTTACAAGTTGTTTCCTAGGACACTTCTCTTTGAAGCCCCCAGATGCTGCATCAGCTCTGGATCCGACTGTTCATCACCCACCATAGTGGGGCCCACCTCCTGCAAGGTAAGCCACAAGGTTGCTTGGCTGGCTGCCAGGAGGAGGTGGAAGGTCTTGCCTCTCCTTCCACCTCTGCGTGCTAGCCCTGAGAGCCTCACATAAAGGCTGGAGAGAGTAGTGAGCATTCGTAGGGGCCAGGCATAAATTGTGAAGGGGTGGGGCCCATCAGTGATCAGGAGGAGCAATGCAGGGGTCTCCCTAGACCCTTAAAGCTCAGCTTTAGCTGGGCAAAGTGGCTCGAGCCTATAGTCCCAGCTACTCAGGAGGCTGAGGTGGGAGGATTGCTTGAGCCCCGGAGGTTGAGGTTGCAGTGAGCCATGATCGTGCCACTGCACTCCAGCCTGAGCCTATTTCAAAACAAAACAGAACAAATAAACATCATGGCCGGGCGCGGTGGCTCAAGCCTGTAATCCCAGCACTTTGGGAGGCCGAGGCGGGTGGATCACGAGGTCGAGAGATCAAGACCATCCTGGTCAACATGGTGAAACCCCGTCTCTACTAAAAATACAAAAAACTAGCTGGGCGTGGTGGTACGTGCCTGTAATCCCAGCTACTTAGGAGGCTGAGGCAGGAGAATTGCCTGAGCCCAGGAGGCGGAGGTTGCGGTGAGCCAAGATCGCGCCATTGCACTCCAGCCTGGGTAACAAGAACGAAATTCCGTCTCAAAAAAATAAAAATAAAATAAAATAAACATCATGTAAATGAAAGAAGCCAGACACAGATCACATTACCACAGAAAGGGGATTAGTGGTTGTCTAGAGCTAAGGGACTTGAAGAAAATCACAAGTGCCTGTGAGGAGGTACAGGCTTTCCTTTTGGGGTATTAGAAATGTTCTAAAACTCATGGTGATGGTTGCACAACTCTGAGTACTCTAAAAAACAACACTGAGCTGTACACTTTAAATCAGTGAATTTATGGTATGCACATTACATATCAATAAAGCCATAGCTTTTAAAAAATAAGAATCACTTGGGGGGGACATTTCCAAGTATGAATTCCCAAGCCCCATACATAGCATTTGGGAGGTCTGAAAAGGGACCCAGGAATCCATATTTTGATAACTGCACAGATGACTGCTTCACAAACCTCTGCCCAGGGCTCTGCTGGAGCGCTCCTGTCCCTGGTGAACCCACCAGGGGGCCTGTGTGCCCTCTGCTGGCTCACCATGGCACTGGACAGTGGGCAGGGGCAGAGGAGCACCTTGCAGCCCATCTGGGGGGCAGAGTAATGTCTTTTGAAGTTGTTGTTTTTTTTTTTGAGACTGAGTTTCGCTCTCGTTACCCAGACTGGAGTGCAATGGCGCGATCTCGGCTCACCGCAACCTCCGCCTCCTGGGTTCAGGCAATTCTCCTGCCTCAGCCTCCTGAGTAGCTGGGATTACAGGCACGCGCCACCATGCCCAGCTAATTTTTTGTATTTTTAGTAGAGACAGGGTTTCACCATGTTGACCAGGATAGTCTCGATCTCTTGACCTTGTGATCCACCCATCTCGGCCTCCCAAAGTGCTGGGATTACAGGCTTGAGCCACCGCGCCCAGCCAATGTCTTTTGAAGTTAAAAGGGGACTCCTGGGGAGCAATCAGAACCTTTTCACAGGTAAGGAAACTGCACCCACAGAAAGGAATGTGACTTTTGACTCACGGTGTTCCCACCTCTAACTGCACCACCCCTTCTCACCTGCCTTCCTTAAAGCTTCAGGGACAGCCCTTCCTGGCCGTGCCTAAGGGTGCAGCTAGTGGCTGTGGATGGGTCAAGGACTTGGCACAGGGGTTTTAGCACCTTGGCACGTCCTTATCTTTTCCAAACCTCTTTCCCTCAGTTTATTCCACTTTTTTCCCCATATGTAGCAGCTCCGTGCAGGGCACTGGGCTCCCTGGGTCCCTCCCGCCGACAGGTAGGACAGGAGCCAGAAGCGCCCGCAGGTCACCCTCTCGCCGGGGCGCAGGTATCGGGTCCCCTTCGCAGCCATAGAGGCTCCGGGCGGGCCAGAGCTCGCTGAGTCCCGGGAGCCGGGCTGAGCCCGCTACCCCACTTCCTCTCCCGGGCCGAGGGGGCGTGGCCGGGCGGGTTCGCAGTCCACCCCCAGTGGGCACAGCCCAGGAGGGAGGCAGACCCCTAGAGCCTGGTCCCGGCTCCAAGTTGCCGGGTGGCCAGTACTCACCATGCGGATCTGGGTGCTGATGAGGAGGTAAGGCATGGTGCGCGCGTCCCGGCCAGGCTCCCCAGGTGGCTCTCGGCTGGGCACCGACTCCAGCCCTACTCGCGTCGGGACTGCGACGAGCCGCTGGGAGTCCCGTTACTCTGGCTCTAGCCACAGGCGGCGTCAGTCCCCGGGCGCCTGGCCCGTGACCGCCGTGGCCGCCAATCAGGAGCGGCTGCCGTGACGCGCCCTGCAGTCCCCGGTTAGGGGCCCGCCCCCGCCCTCCCCGCGGCGGACTTGGACCCCGGGGCCCACCTGAGGCTTCCGCCGAGTGGTCAAGTCGCGGGAAGGTAGGGTGTGGGGAGGAGGGGGCGGTCCCACGGCCTGGAGGCGGAGGTGGCCCGGCAGAGTCGACTGGCTGCGCCCAGCGCGCGTGTTGCCCCTGCGCCCCTTCTTGCAACACTGCAGATCAGGTTCCAAAGTCCCTGCCAGGCAGAGCCCAGAGCAAACGGCGTCCTCGCGGAGGCCTCCCCAGGCCCCAGCCCACCCCTCCGAGACGCCTCAACACCTTCAGCGGGGCCCCACTTCCCCTCGCCAAGACGCGCAATGCAGAGATTCCTTAAGCGCTGAGGAGGCCGGGGCAGGAGGCTCGGGGCTTGCCCTGAAGGCTACAACTAAAATACCACCGGGCGCACCGCGCATTCCCGCCTCCCAAACTCTGATTCCAGTACAGCGGCAGATCCTTGCATTTCTGTAGACCGATAGGAACATCTATCAAGGAACTTCGCCCTTGGCTGGGTGCCAGGTCTGGAGTGACGGAATGGATGGAACCTGGCCCTCCCTCCCCGGAGCTTCCCGCGCAGCTGGACAGACGCCGCGCACGCGCAGGAGGTCACTGGGCAACACCTGAAGCAAATGAAACAACTTCCCTGGTACCAGCCACCAGTGAGCGGGCTGCGAGTTTCCAACCGTGTGTCCACGCCCTCATTCGCAGGTATCAAAATCTGACAACTCATCATTCTTTTTTTGTTGTTTTTTGTTTTTTAGTTTTTTTTTGAGGCGGAGTTTCGCTCTTGTTACCCAGGCTGGAGTGCAATGGCGCGATCTCGGCTCAGCAACCTCCGCCTCCTGGGTTCAGGCAATTCTCCTGCCTCAGCCTCCTGAGTAGCTGGGATTACAGGCACGCGCCACCATGCCCAGCTAATTTTTTCTATTTTTAGTAGAGACAGGGTTTCACTATGTTGACCAGGATGGTCTCGATCTCTTGACCTCGTGATCCACCCTCCTCGGCCTCCCAAAGTGAACTCTTCATTCTTTATCTGCCTTGTTGTGATTGGTTCTCTAGAAAACAAAGCAAAACAAAAACAGCCTGTATGTAGCTGTAGCCCTCCCTCCTGTGGGATGATAAAAATCTTCACTTTTTAACAGGGAGGGGGGCATTTATAGGGGATACTGCTCTTGGAACACTTTGAAGACGTGGAGAAAGCTATAAGGGAAGTAGGAAGTTGTAACCCTAAAGGTCCCTTGACTAGTCTAATTCTGTAGTTCCTACCCCTGCCCTGTTACCCACTGGACTAACAGGTTAGCCAGAGAGATAAAACACATTCATGCTTAACAAAGGAGGTGTTGCTGGGCCGGGTGGCTCACACCTGTAATCCCAGCACTTTGGGAGGCTGAGATGGGTGGATCATGAGTTTGAGAACAGCCTGGCCAACATGGCTAAAACCCGTGTCTACTAAAATTACAAAAATTAGCTGGGTGTGGTGGCGGGCACCTGTAATCCCAGCAACTTGGGAGGCTGAGGCAGGAGAATTGCTTGAACCCAGGAGGTGGAGGTTGCAGTGAGCTGAGATCGTGCCATTGCACTCCAGCCTGAGCAACAAGAACAAGACTCCATCTCAAAAAAACAAACAAACAAACAAACAAAAAACAAAACAAAACAAAAGTATGTGTTAAAACTGACAAAAGATTCAGGGAAATTTGTGCTCAGTTAAAAAAAAAAGTGACAATAGCCGGGCGCGGTGGCTCAAGCCTGTAATCCCAGCACTTTGGGAGGCTGAGGCGGGTGGATCACGAGGTTGAGAGATCGAGACCATCCTGGTCAACATGGTGAAACCCCGTCTCTACTAAAAATACAAAAAAATTAGCTGGGCATGGTGGCACGTGCCTGTAATCCCAGCTACTCAGGAGGCTGAGGCAGGAGAATTGCCTGAACCCAGGAGGCGGAGGTTGCGGTGAGCCGAGATCGTGCCATTGCACTCCAGCCTGGGTAACAAGAGCGAAACTCCGTCCCACAAAAAAAAAAAAAAAAAAAAAAAAGTGACAAAAGATTAACGTCCAGGAACACCTGCAACTCAGTGAGGAAAAAAAAATGAACAGAAAAAGCAGGGGTAACTGACTTGAATAGGCCCTTCACAAAAGAGGAAATAGAAATGACCAATAATTCATTGGAACCGAGTCAAAAAAAAAAAGCAGGCTGGGAGCAGTTGGGAGGCTGAGGCAGGTGCATCACAAGGTCAAGAGATCGAGACCATCCTGGACAACATGGTGAAACCCTGTCTCTACTCAAAAATGCAAAAATTAGCTGGGTGTAGTGGCATGGCCCTGTAGTCCCAGCTACTCAGGAGGCTGAGGCAGGAGAACTGCTTGAACCTGGAAGGCGGAGGTTGCAGTGAGATGTGATTGCACCACTGCACTCCAGCCTGGCGCCTGGCAGCAGAGCCAGACTCTGTCTCAAAAAAAAAAAAAAAAAAAAAAAAAAAAAAAAAAAAAAAAAAAAACAGAAAAGAAAAAGAAATGACCAATAAACATGTAACATGATGCCCAGTATATCATTAGAAATCCAGAAAATGCAAATTAAACTAAATTTCACTTTTCTCTTTCTTCTTTTTTTTTTTTGTTTTTTAGATGGAGTCTTACTCTGTCACCAGGCTGGAGTGCAGTGGCATGATCTTGGCTCACTGCAACCTCTGCCTCCCGGGTTCAAGCAATTCTCCTGCCTCAGCCTCCTGATTATCTGGGATTACAAGCACACCACTATGCCCAGCTAATTTTTGTGTTTTTAGTAGAGACGGGGTTTCACCATGTTGGCCAGGATGGTCTCGATCTCCTGACCTTGCGATCTGCCCACCTCAGCCTCCAAAGTGCTGGGATTACAGGCATGAGCCACCACTCCAGGCAGTTGTTTTCATTTTAACCACATTTATTTAAACCACAAGACTTTGTAGACACAGTGGCTCACGCTGTAATCTCAGCACTTTAAGAGGCCAAGGCAGGTGGATGGCTTGAGCCCAGAAGGTTGAGGCTGCAATGAGCCGTGATTCACTAGGTTTCTTTGTGAGTAATTCATCTTTGCTTAAAGAGAGATTACCCTCCGTGTAAAACCTATGTACGAAAAAGTTATACTCTATTGAGTAGAAGGATTTTTTTTTAAAGTTATGCAACTGTCCTTGATTTTTACAATGATAAATGAAAAGCATTAAAATTCTTCAGTTGAACAAAGTGTGCAAGGAGTTTTATGTCGTCATTTTTTAGTTAAAGCATTACTGGAATATAGAGATAACAGCGTGGTGGCTCACGCCCAGCTCAGTGCTATAATCCCAGCACTTTGGGAGAGTAAGGCAGGCAGATCACTTGAGGTTCAGAGTTCGAGACCAGCCTGGCCAACAAGCTAGTGAAACCCCGTCTCTACTAAAAATACAAAAATTAGCCAGCATGGTGGTGTGCACCTGTAGTCCCAGCTACTCCAGAGGCTGAGGCAGGAGAATCTCTTGAACCTGGGAGGTGGAGATTGCAGTGAGCCAAGATTGTGCCACTGCACTCCAGTGTGGGTGAACAAGCAAGACTCTGTCTCAAAAAATAAATAAATAAATAAATAAATAACCAGATGTGGTAGCACATGGCTGCAGTCCCACTTGAACCTGGCAGGTGGTGGCTGCAGTGGGCCAAGATTGCACCACTGCACTCCAGCCTGGCAACAGAGCAAGACTCCGTCTCAAATAAATATATGAAAAATAGATAAGAGCTGAATGAGCATGTCACGAATGGAGAAAGCGGATATTTTCACAGAACTAGTATTTTCCCCAATCCCATCTCCACTTGATGTCAATCAGAACATGCCATTGGCCAGGCGCAGTGGCTCACGCCTATAATCCCAGCACTTTGGGAGGCCGAGGCAGGTGGATCACGAGGTCAAGAGGTCGAGACCATCCTGGTCAACACGGTGAAACCCCGTCTCTACTAAAAATACAAAAATTAGCTGGGCATGGTGGCGCGTGCCTGTAGTCCCAGCTACTCAGGAGGCTGAGGCAGGAGAATTGCCTGAACACAGGAGGTGGAGGTTGCAGTGAGCCGAGATTGCGCCATTGCACTCCAGCCTGGGTAACAAGAGCGAAACTCCATCTCAAAAAAAAAAAAAAAAAAAAAAAAAAAGAGGCCGGGCGCGGTGGCTCAAGCCTGTAATCCCAGCACTTTGGGAGGCCGAGGTGGGTGGATCACAAGGTCAAGAGATCGAGACCATCCTGGTCAACATGGTGAAACCCCGTCTCTACTAAAAATACAAAAAAAATAGCTGGGCATGGTGGTGCGTGCCTGTAATCCCAGCTACTCGAGAGGCTGAGGCAGGAGAATTGCCTGAACCCAGGAGGCGGAGGTTGCGGTGAGCTGAGATCGCGCCATTGCACTCCAGCCTGGGTAACAAGAGCGAAACTCCGTCTCAAAAAAAAAAAAAAAAAAAGAAAAGAAAAGAAAAAAAAGAACTATGTTGTATTGGTCAGGATGTTGTGGAACCAAATTGCAGTTTTCTAATTGAGGATATAATCTTGGTCTGCAAGAACAGAGGTCTGGAGTAAGGTAGCAGGTTCCTTTTTTAGTAGACACTGGTCTCCTGTAGGAACCTGTCAAGTGTGTATTCATCCTCCCTTACCAACTGTACAGGTATGTCTGTTTCATAGATTGGCTGCCTGTCAAATCCAAATCTGATCTGCCCCATTGACAAACCCTATTATTTACAATAGGCTCTCGTCAGTTTACTAAGTGACATATGCCTTTTAAACTGTGCCACATAACTATCCTGTTACACCACCTTCAAATTAATATGATCGTTGTTCTCAGTATTTTTTTTTTTTTTTTTTGAGACAGAGTTTCGCTCTTGTTACCCAGGCTGGAGTGCAATGGCACGATCTCGGCTCACTGCAACCTCCGCCTCCTGGGTTCAGGCAATTCTCCTACCTCAGCCTCCTGAGTAGCTGGGATTACAGGCACGTGCCACCATGCCCAGCTAATTTTTTTTTGTATTTTTAGTAGAGACAGGGTTTCACCATGTTGACCAGGATGGTCTCGATCTCTTGACTTTGTGATTCGCCCACCTCGGCCTCCCAAAGTGCTGGGATTATAGGCTTGAGCCACCGCGCCCGGCCTGTTCTCAGTCTTAACTTCTTCCTTGAGCTTCCTTGGTCATGGCAAGCACCAGAGTCTCTGTAGCTGCTGCTCCCCAAAGGAGGTACTGTTACCGCCC